GGCAGCTACTGGTACAGTTTCAATTAATTTGTTACTCTCGTGCAGTAATGTTTGTACTCTCGTTAAATATGGACACATCGGTTCCAAACTAAGATATAGACACATGTGTAGGCCTATATTTTCAACTAAATCAATTTAAGAAAAAACAACAACTGAAATTTATTCCAGATTTGCATACACTATAGGCCTACCGTCATTGGTTTTTCAATCAAAAGGCAGAATAAGTAGACATATGATCCAGGAGCACATACGTAATTTGAATGAACTCGCTGGGTTTAAGTTAAGTTGCATAAGCATCAGGGGGACACACAACTTTAATAACAAGCACTTCATTTTACAAGATAACTATTTAATGAGGGGGGGGGGTGCTGCTTGCAGGTCCTACCACACATAGACATAGGCTACTTTTTTTTTCTTTTCTCTGTTGTTTCTGTGTTAATGGGTGTTGTCAATTTGATGTCATTATATTTACTATCACTTCTACTACAACTGCTATAACTGCTGCTACAGCTGCTATCAAATGCGTGGAACATAACTAAACATGAATAATATATTATATGAACACCTTTGGTGTTTCTTATACCGAAGTTTTAGAGAGAAATATACTTTTGACGAGCAGCGACATTTTATTTATTTCTTACTGTAAGAGAGTTCTTCTTATTTACTTCCGTTTGAAGTCGAAACCTGGAAGCAGCTCGTGTTCCGTGACCAAGGACACAGCATTATGTTGGCACTAAAAAGCGTGCAGAAACTAGCTTCTTTGACTTGCCGAAAACAGGTTGCTAAGATGTGTTTATTGCCCAGTAGCACCAAACCAACGATTCAGTGTGTCTCCCTGAATGGCGTTCTTTTCCGTCGCAATTTGTCGACTCCTCACGGACCTGAAAGTGAAAGTAACCAAGACCAGGGGCAGAGTGGCATTGGATCAGCAGTTCCATCGTCTGCTGGCTCAAGTGGCTCATTGAAAGTCCCAGTCAATTCACCTAATGAATCAAGATTTCCGTGTAACTCCAATCCATATAACCCAGAAGTTGTGGACTCGTTACTCCTAGAAGTGAAAAATGACATGCCATTACCTGACATGCCCGATCCATTCGCAAAGGATTACAAAAAATGTTTTTTGTGTAGGCAGGATATTCAGCTTGATCACAAAAATGTGCGATTGCTTAGTCAGTTTGTGTCCCCATATACTGGTCGTATTTATGGCAGAGCCATAACTGGCCTGTGTATTCCTATGCAAAAGCAAGTGGCAAAGTACATCAAGCGTGCAAGGATGTCAGGGTTTATGCCTTTTATTTTCAAAGACCCAAGATATTTGAAAGATCCTCAGCCATATGACCCGATGATGAAGAAGTGATTTTTCCCCAAGACAGATTATAATTTTTCTGTGGACTTTTGTACTGTTGACTGGAGAATTCTTAACTTGACTTTACCGATCAGGTTTTATGCAAAGACGGATCATGATCAAAAAGACTTTCATTTACTGGCATTCATAAATTATATAATTTCAGTATTGAAATTAATTTGTTTGTAAGTTATTTCATTAGTTTTTATCTCCAAGAGTTCATAATTTCCAGAAATGAAAAACGAATTCCTGGCATGTGTGAGCATTCTTTGGTCGAAGTCAGAGGAATTGAATTGGTAAAGGACTATGTGTGCATTTAATACATGATGCCTTTGTGTGATTTGTTAGAACCCCAAAGCCCCAGTTGCAGACATTTCGGACTTCACAGAACAAAGTATCTCTTTGTATTTAAATTGTATGCAAGAAGGTGTACGGGAACAAGATGCATTGAAAAGTTTATATGCCTGGGGTTGTTTTTTATTTCAAAATAAAAAGGCATAAAAAATAACTAATGTTCAGTGTTGTAGTACCTTTGGCCGTAAGACAGAAAGACCTTAGTATAGTTCGTGGAATGATTGGAAACAGTGTGAATGTGTCTTTGTTTGCATGGACTGGGAAAGGAAGGAAGCATTCATAGTCAACTACGGATGAGATGATTACTGTTGATGTCGTCGAGGGGGGGGCTGAAAAAAAGATAAACTCATCTGAAGTTCAACTAATCAAAGGGATCATTGTAGAAGAAGAAGTGCTGGGACCCAAGGAAATGATCGATTTAACCGAAGATCAACTCAAGCGGGTTCAACTCAAATGGAGTCGAATGTAGTAGATTTCAAAAGAGAAGGGCTAAGTGCATTAGTCACTATTTTATGAAATGATTGGAGCACTATTTCAGAAACAACAGAAGACACAGTGTCTGTTTCTTTATTATAAGGTAAAAATCAATTAATTTTATATATATCATGTTTGTATTTGACATCTCATTATTAACTTAAGTCACTGGCACCGTAAAATCCTTCCACAGGTTTTGATTGAACATTCTGTTTCCGAAAAGTGTTGAGGAAACATTTTCTTCTGTTTATATAATTATTACCCTAAAAGACCCTAGAATGCTCAGAAATATTCTTGGCTTCCCAGGAAACATGTAGTGCAAGCTACAGATTGCATGCACTCAAACACACTAACAAAAAACTGATCAGATTTTTTGCTGTCTACAGCTGGATACCCTTTCCCACCAGGGTGAAGTGAGAGGAATTTGTGTTACTGTTTAAGTTAAAGTGCCTTTTCTAAGGACACAACCTAGGACCCCTGAGAGTTTCGAACTCACGACCTTTACAGTTATTAAAGTTACGAGTCTGAGAGCCTGTAAAATAATTCTCCCTTTCCTATCATTACTGGTATCTCATTTATTCTTTTCTTTTTTCATCGGCTGCAAAGTCCGATTTTTGTAAAAGTTTTTATTTTAAATTGCTGATAATTAATAATTGCTTGCATAAATAATAAATGGCCTAGTTTCTTGTTTCTCTCAAGTAGATGCATTTTGACCATCTTTGTCTGGGAAGTCTTTCATAGTTTAGTGGATCTCTATTTTTGTTTGATATTATTTAACGAAGTGAAAGAGAAATTAACCATACAGGGGGACATCTTGATATGCTTTGTGTGGTCCCAGGGGCTTGCTGTGTTTCTATCGCCAATTTTGGGACGAGCATGAAGTTGGCAGTATGACAACTGGCAATACTTGATTGTCATTCATATGTACTGAATATGGTCAAGGGAAAGGATGCTGCCATGACTAGTTGAATGACAAATTCATGAGTCGTTTCCCTTTTATGTCCAAAACTTGATGAGATGGCTAACATACTTCACATAGGAATCAGATTTTCAGGTCCCAGTTTTTTTCTCATACACACGCGCAGAATTTGAGCATAAAAAGATTTCGACATCCTGCCGATCTCAATCTGTCTAGACTGTACAAGTAAATTTTGTTATTGTTTCACTATGGTATTTAATTATGGGCCTTGACATTGTAGAAAGTAGTGGAGTACTTTTTAGTTTATAAATAGTATATTTAGTGCATTCAGAGACCTTTCCAAAGTTTTGGACAGAATGCATGGTACATGTAGGAGCCTACAGTCCATGTCGGCTTTAAGCACGGTCATCGGGAGAAAGCTTAAGTGTGCTTAAAGCCGAAGCGTGCTTAAGTGCGAAGTAGACATATTCCAGAGATTTTCATGTAGAAAATTCCCCGTGCTATTTCCCTTTGTTTGTAAGTAGGCCTATAGCGGTCCCGCAAAAGTGTGCACTGATATTTAGACACCCGCCATGGTAGTTTTTGTTCGCTTGTTTGTTTTTGTTTTGTGGTCGAATGGGAAATGAAAACTTAATTTAGACGGCCAGTCACGATATATGAACAGCACACTAGGCCTACTGTAGACATTTTCAGTTTTCTTTGAATATTGAATGTGTTTACTATTTCTGAAAATTTTATCAGGAAAAGAAATGTTGTGCTGTGTGTACATTCATTTGTTGAGAGTGTTACTTTGGTTCTATTCCGAATTCTACTCGCTTGTTCGTTGTGAAGAAAGTAATGAAGACAAATGATGTTTGAAAGGTTATTTTCATTGAAAATAAATGCTTGTAACCTTGTCATGAAAAGGAATGCTTGCAGAGAATCCTTTCGTGTGATTGTTTTTTGTTTTTAAAAAATGTAGTTGAGTTGTTTTTTACATCTGTTACTGTTTAGAGGCGGGCTTCAGACCCTACCTGGGATGAGAGGAATACTTTTAGTACCGTACAACATTCCAGCAGAATGACCGAGATACTTGATAAAAATTTCTCCCGACTTGAGAATTGAACTTGGGTCTCCTGCATGCAACAGCGAAGTGCCTAACCACTGCACCACAGACGCCAGTTATTCGATTGTGAACATTATAATTATAGTGATGTAAAATATCTCATGAATAGAGACATGAAAAAGGAGGGGGAAAGGAGGATCGTGAGTCATACTGAATACAGCAAGAAGTAAAAGGAGTATCTTTACTTACTCATCTGGCAATAGCTTGGAATAAACAAAATGGACATATATAGGCCCTATTATGAGAACATGAATTTTTCCTACAGCTAGGAACCTGGTGAAAGCGCATGGACTTGGTGGTTGTGATGGACTACTACCATTTTGATACCGTGAAACTTGCATCCTGCAATAGACTTTGCAACAAAAAAACTACCCCAGACTCGCTGCAAGGGGAAATAAATTGTGAGGCATCGTGGTGAAATCAGGCGCTTGTCAAAATAACTAAATCGTAGAAACAGGCATGTTTCTGTCAATTTGGCACTTTTTATCAAATTTTTGTTTTTCAGCTCAACCTCTTTTATGTTCATGTAAAAACACATTTCCACGTGAATATTACTGAAAAACGTTGATTTAAGGCACAAATTATGTCATTTTAAAGTTTTCAAGGACTCTTTATACCAGCTGTTGAAGTTACCAAACATTGATGATTGACTGCCATTTTCTCGCTAATTTCATCATTGAAACAAGACAACCTCACCCCCTTCAATCGCAAATAACTTGACTTCTATAATTCAACACAGATGGGTAGATCTATTTTTTTCATTGAAAGCAAAGCAAATATAAATAAACTTTCAGATTATACCAATAACTCTCAATACCCAAAAATTGACGAGCGCCTGATTCCACCGCGTCCTGACACAATGTTTTATTCAAATTCAAATTAAAACTTTTTTTTTACAGGGTCCCTTTTAAAAAAATGTTTTGTAGGCGTCTTAAACAGGCTTTTTTAAAGAAAAAGTAAGAGCATGATCTCTTTATGTAGCCTGGGTGGATGTTATCAAGTACCAGTATGACTGATTTTTACACATGAAGAGCAAAGGGGAAAGCGACGGTAGTCACAAACTAGAAATTGTGAGGGTGCTAATTTTAAAAGCTTGTGGACTCATAACTTCATATTTGTTTGACTGGTGGTTTATTGTTAAGTGTTGTTGAATGGGAAATCTTGCAACAACAATTATCAACCAACAGTTGAACAGAAATACAGTTATGAGTCAACAAGCATTCAAAATTGGTACCGGTACCCTCACGATTTTCAGTGTTTGTGACTACCGTCGTTTTTCCCATGTAGCCTTCACATGTTTATATGTATGTCATGTGACTGTTTTTTCTACTTACTTTTCCCTTTGCCTTCAGGCAGAGACATGTTTTTGTTGCTGACTGGAGTAACTGTAGTGTCTATAGGCCATTCCCATAGGGGGGACATTTCTTGTTCATGCACAGTAGAATTGTAATTGTAAATGGGCTGATTCATCATGTCACGCTCATAATTGTGCCTGATCTACAACAGGGAAGCTGCTTTTTCTTTCCTAATCCTTACTATTGTCATTTTCGTCTACTTCTTTTGTATGTTTGTCACACTCTTGTGACCTGCTATTTCCGGGGTGCCTTGATAGTCGAAGCTGACTTTGTGCTGTTGAAGCTAGAGAGGTGACCAGAGTAAGTCTGATTTCCTGTAAAGACTTCTCTGTTGACACCCACCCTTTGGCACTCATATGACCTTATGCAGTTGGGAACATGGTAAAACCCTCTACTATAAATGTTTTTAAAAGACTCAGAGGTTGACGTGTAATGACCCTCCATCTTTCACGGTCACGAGATGCCGTTGCACATTCTGCCATTAGATCAGGCACAGTTATGAGCGTGACATGAATCAGCCCATTTACAATTCTACTGTGCTTGAACGAGAAATGTCCCCCCTTTGGGAATGGCCTAAAGACACTACAGTCAGTGGCACTGCCGCTGGGGGTAACCTCTGAGTCAGAGATGACACCTCCTTCACTCCTTAAGTGAGTTTTACAACACTTGCAGCACAATTAATAACAGGGAAGCCAAATGTCCGGTTTTTCCTGTTTTAAACCGTTGGAATGCAACAAAGTTTCCCTACCCTTGCAAGGGGAAGGGGGGGGGGGGGGTAAGAGAGATGTTTTTGTTTGCTCATTTA